CACACACATTGACTCAGTGATGGCGAAGTCCATCGAACAGAAACTAACTCATACATACACATTTTGGGTTCAGTATCTTGCTCAAGGATACTTCGACTTCCGATTAGCGGACGACCCGCTCTGCCTCTGAGCCACAGCCGCCGTGGTGGTAACCCCTGCCTGAGCCTCATTGTTAAGGTGGCTTGTAGGGTGATAGGTGCCCCCAGACCCCTGATCGCTGTCAGCAGGTTCTCTGCAAGGCCAGGTCTATACTGTACTGTACAGATCTCCACACACATTTGTAAATCTGCCACGGCAGAAGTGTAGCAACAGTCACATGTAAAAAGACAGCCAATTGAGAGTCTTGCCTGAGTTGTAACCGATGAACTGTCTGTATTTCCAGCTCTTGGAACAAATACTTAGACTTCTCAGCCATTAATATGTATGTGTGCACTTACATATTTGTCCATGCATTTTCAAATCTATATACACATTTACAGATTTGTCTACATATTTATAAATCTCAATACATTTGCCAATCTCAATACAGATTTATACACACAAATCTGATTACGCACACATGGTTTCTGAACAAACATTTGCAGATTTCTGTACACAATCACAAATCTCAGTACATATTTACAGATTATTTTACACATTTACAAATCTGATTACGCACACACAGATTGAGTTACATAACTCTCCACCCACATTGATAAATAGTTTTGCTACAATAATAGCTCCATATAAAACTCCCTTTTTTATCAAACTAATTAAAACTGAACTGATTAGAAAAACACTTGAACATACATCAGTGGGATAAGCATGTCCCATCTGTTACCATGGAGGCAGCGGGCTCTATAACCTATACTGCAGTCAGCCACCAGGGGGTGATCCAGGTGTTGTGGCTTCACTTGTGGGGAGCTGTCATGTCGTCTATCTTTATAAATGTCAATGGTGCTGACCATGAACAGCAACTTTTGCTGAAGAAGACATGATGGGCCAAAGCAACGCTGATAAAGCTTAAGGGAACTCTAATTCTAGTATGCAGATACATTTCTAGTGTATTATTTTTTGTATCCAGCCCTTGGAAGAGTTGGTCCCTGGTCACCTTTGGGATCCAAAAGAACATATATAACTTGCTTTTTTCTGTTACTTTCACTGTATTTAATCTATTTTCAGTTGATCAGACCTGTTTGAAAATTTCGAATCTGTAACATGTGTCTTGGTCTGACTGTGGTTGACATGCTTGATATCCAGTCACATTTAAGTGTGTGTGTTTGTGTGTGTGTGACGTTGGACTGCTGTGAAATGGACTGTGACAGTGGCTTCAACCAGACTTACTGACTGCCCATGGCAAGCCACGAGCCCCAGTGGCCTTCTGTCAACACTCTCTCTCTTCCTCCCTATCTGTCTCTGTCATGTTGTCTCTCTCAGCAAGCACGCACACACTCAGACACACACACACACACAGTTTTACTTTATCTAATTAAGGCTGAGTGCCATTTCAGCTTCTACAGACTGCATTTTACCGCCCACATGTGCACTCACTCTGGCCGGCTTCTTCCCGTTGGTCACAAAGCGGAATGGATAGCTCTTGTGTTCAAGGTGACAGGAGGCAGCACCCATGGGAGCCTACATACACACTTCAACAGGAGGCTATGTTTGCTCCTAGAAGTCAATAAATCTTTTATTTTCTGGATTATGTTTTTATGTTATTTCATAATATTTTCACACCTGTCATTCATTTATTTCTGCTTTTGGTATGCTTTATTTCTTCTAGTTTTCAACTTTTTTCAGCACAAGCCAGTTTCCCCTGGGATGAAATAAAGATAAATTGATAAAATTAAAATCTCAGTAACTGAAGAAAAAAAATGTTAGTTAGGATTTCCACAACTTATGTTCAACATTATATTTATTTGGTGTGGAAATAGTTCTGATTGGTTCATGAGAATTTCATAAATGATTTCCGATCATGTGCCGAATCTTATCGGGGACTGATCCCCAAAGCCCCTGTGATTTTTTTTAGCCTTGTGTTGTTATTTTTCCGACACTTGTGTGGCACTGATCATGCCTTATTATGGCTGGCGGGCACATTTCCCCGGCTCCTCTCTCATGTGTTGATGATGGAGCGCAGTAATTGGCCACGCTGAGTGACAAGCAACGTCTCGGAGGAGATAATGAGGCAGCCATTTTGAGGGAAACGCTGACACTTTGAGCAGTTAACACAATTAACTGCTGCACCGGGTGGATCACTTGGTACATTTATTAGAAGACTGATTCCAAGATTACATGAATATTAATCACCAACTGATTACTGAAGGAAAATTAAGAACATGGAATAGGTTTTTCGGTGTATTGACTGTGGTCGTTTTTGTGGATTTGGTTGGTGTTTCAGAGCTGACTTCTGATGCATCAGAAAGATAAAGAGATATAGGAGAAAAACAAGGTGTCAGATTGTTATGACGTATGCTAACACAGTGCTGGGGCTTAATGGATTCAGGAACAAAGCATTCAGACATATGTCCTGTAATGATGTAAGGTAATGGGATGACTCTGGGTAACCATGTTCAGAGAACTTAATGCACCTGCACATCCACACTGTACAGTACATCCTCTGCTATTCCACTCTCCATTTGTCAGAGTTGTCTGTCCCCCCCCCCCCCCCCC